TTCCTTGTTCCCGAATGTATAATGTTAGGTTCTTTATCTGAGACTTTTCTTGTTTCTTCAAACAGGCATTTATCACTATGAACTCCCTCTTAGAACTGCTTTTGCCGCACACCGTAAATTTTGGTATGTTCTATTTCCATTTTTGTTTGTCTCAGGTATTTTTTTATTTCCCTTTTGACCTCTTCACTGGCTCACTGGTTGTTCAGTGGCATGTTGTTTCATCTCCACACACTTGTGAATTTTTCACTTTTCTTCATGTAATTAATTTCTAGTTTCATACCATTATGGTCAAAAGGACACTGGACATGATCCCAGTCCTCTTAAGTTAATTGGGACTTTTACAGCCTAACACAGGACTAGGATCTATCCTGGAAAATGTTGAACTCTTTATTGTGTAAATTACCTATCTCCACTTTGTTAAGGTGTTTTCTTGTTGTTGTTTCCCTGAAGTTTTATCCTCTTCTTTCATTTGGAATGGATTCCTCTGTTTCTTCATTTTTCCTGACTCTCTGTGCTGGTTTCCATACAGTCTATGAAACATCCAGCTCTCCCAGTCTTGAGGAAGCGGCTCTGTGCAGCAGGCAAGCCCTGCTCAACCCTGCCCCAGCCCTTTGTCATCTCCCAACCTTTGAGCTTGCCCAAGCAGATTATTATATTTTTAAAAGCTCCCAGTAGTTGAAGATGTGCCAAGACCTCTCAGGGTCCCTAAGGGGAAGCTGTCAGCACCTAGAATCTTGCTCTTTAGAATCCAGTCCTCAGACGGCAGCGTTTAAACATATGCAGACATATACAGTCCTGGATAGAGTCTCGGGGACTGCAAACCTAAGCCCCACTAGCCTGGAGATCTGGAATGGGCAGCAGTTACAAAAACTAGAGTTCTAGACATAAAAGCAGGGTACCAGCTCCCATCTAGGAGACACTGTGCTCTGGAGCATGGCAGAGGGAGAACATGAAGATAGCATCCATCTTCCACCATCTCTGGAGAAGATCCAAGTGCATCCCTCAGCACCTGTAATTTAGAAGCATGACCCTCGGATTAGCTCATAGGCTTCTTCCATGGAAAGACTGAGCTCCTGGGTCTGTTGCCTCTTGCTTGGTCCTGGGGGTGTGGCAGCTGTATAAGAACTCTTTCTCTCCCGGTTACTGTCCTGTGGGGAACCACAAGCATCAGCCCCACCGGCTGCCAGAGCCAGGCAATATGGGAGTGTTCCCTGGCAGTAACTGCAAGAAGTGGGGTGTGAAATAGAGATTTAAGCTCCTTTCTGGGTGCCACCAATTATTACAGTCCCAGAGGACCAGGAACACAAGGTCCCTTGGCCTCCAGAGCCAGGTGGTCAAGAGGTGTCCCCAGGGTGGGAGCCGCAAAGACTGAGGGACCCAACTCATGTAAAAGTTCCCTTCCAGGAGACGCTGGTGCTCCCAAGCACAGGAAAGAGAGACTGCAAAGATGGCACCTGCAAGGGCTGGTCCCTGGAGAGTGTTCCCACAGGCTCCTAGATGTAAATGTCAAATTAGACATCTGCCCTTTGGGCCGATGCTACAGTAGAAGGAAGGGAGACTTCACTTTATGTGTGGGCGCGGTCAGCTGCCTCTGAGCCGGACCCCTGAGCGGGTGAGTCCAACCACACAAGCCGCTTAAGAGATGTCATGCAGACCACTACAGACTTGTGGATGTTGCGACACCAGCCCCACTGGTTTTCGAAGTTGGATATCAGGGGGCTCATCTCTCAGGTGCAGGTTCTAAGAGCTCAGGTCCCCAGGGGCGGGGTTTATGGTAAATTTGTGTCCCAGCCTCTCCTACCCGCTTTGATGTAGTTTTCTTCTTGTTTGCCTTATATGTGGTTGTCACTCAGCCGGCCTTGAGAGTTTTTTAAGAAATTTGTTCCATAAGCAGCTGCAGACTCAGCGTGTCCATGGGAGGAGAGGAGCTCAGGATCTTCCTATGTCACCGTCTTAAACTGGAACCCATATATTTTTTTAATGCATCAAAGAACTTAGGATGCAAAGAAGTCTAAATGAACTGGGACACCCGGGCAGCTCAGTCGGTGAGGCGTCTGCCTTCAGCTCAGGGCATGATCCCGGGGTCCTGTGATCAAGCCCTTCATCAGGCTGAGCAGGAAGCCTGCTTCCTCCCCTCTGCTTGTGTGCTCCATCTCTCTCCTCTCTCTCTCTCATTCTCTCTCAATCTCTCTCTCTCTCAAATAAATAAAAATCTTCTTTAAAAAAAAGAAGTCAAAGTGAACTAAATCCTAGAGAGGGATGAGTCCTTTCTAAATGAGGAGAAACCTATAAGTGCTTTCACCCCAAGGGTCACAGCAGGCAGAAGAAAAAACTTTCCACTGAGAGCCAGTGCATGGGCAGACCAGACAGAGGAGACGCAGATGTAGGGCAAGCCTATTTCATCCATGATTTCTTCCCCCACAGGACCTTCTTTGAGTGCAAAGAAGTGTAGCAGAAGCTAAGCGCCGGGGAAAAGAGCAGGGAAAGCAATCCCGTGGTGTGGAGAGCTGGAGGCGGGGCTGGAGCACAGAGAGAGAGCTCGAGTGATGTCTAGGTCTGGGCACTTGTCAAACCACTGCTTTTGCACTGGGTCGTAGGACGAGCATGTCTGGGCGCAAGCCCTATGAGAGCAGTCTCAGTTTCCCACCGCTGTTTGGGTCTCTTGGACGTAAGCCCTGTCGGTTTTCGAAGCCAGACATGTGGAGGGCTCTGTCGCTCCGGAGCGTGGTCCCAAGCATTGCAGGTGCCTGATGTGGGGCTGGAACCCCTTGCTCCTCAGGGATGTGGCTCCATTTTTGCAAGATCCGTAGCTGCACTGGGAGTGGGGTTTTGGTCAAGACTGTGTCTCTGCCTCTCCTAGACATCTCAGTGTGGTCTTTTTATCCTTTGTTTTGGAGCAGACACTCAGCCAATTCTTGGGTCTCCTTCAGGGAGAATTGTTCTACAGGGAGCTGTAGATTTGGTGTGTCTGTGGGAGGTGGTGAGTTCAGGGTCCTCCTAAGGCTGCCATCTTGAATCTTCTCCAGATTTTTTTTTTTTTTGATCAATGCAAAATCACAAGAGATACATAATGCCCATGTGCTCTATCCATTTTCATAACACAATTCTATTAAAGGGTTTTTTTTAAACAAATACATATTTAACCTTTGGTATTTCTCACAAAACATATCCTACACAATGTCTGACATACTAAAATATCTTTTTGTAGGACTGGGCTCTTTTGGACTTAGGGAAACGAAGGTCCAGAAATACTGTTAATCTGGAATAAATACTTGGGGTTTATGATCCTCTATGAGAGTGAAGAAAAGCAAACATGGAATGTGGGAAATTTCATCCCAGTTCAGCAATACGTTGTCCAACTTCATCCTTCTGTGACCTCTGTCAGTTTCCTATGTTAAGAAATATTCCTGCCCACACCTAAATGTTGGTTCTTCCCCCAGGATTCCATCCCAGCCTTCTTTTCTTTATAACCCAAACACTCCCCTGGTCACATTTATCCAACTTGTTGTTATTTATTATCAACATCACTTACTGATGATGATCCGATCTCTGTATTTAGTCCAGATCCTGATCTCAAACCATTTTTTTAAGTGTATACCATGCCTAGAACCGCATCAAACACTTTCCATACGGTGCCTTAACTTTTTACATCATCTTCATAAGGTAGTTAATTTCAAGTAAGTTTATAATTGTAAAACACATCAGAATTTATAAAATGTTTCCATTGGGGTATCTGGGTGGCTCATTCAGTTAGGTGTCTGAGTCTTGATTTTGACTCTGGGATTGAGTCCCACCTCGTGCTCTGCCCTCAGTGGGGAGTCTGCTTGAGGATTCTCTTTCCCTTTCCCTCTGCCCCTTCCCCCACTCATGCACACTCTCTCTCAAATAAATAAATCTTTTAAAAAGATGAAATACTTTCATTTACAGTGACATTTGTTCCTCAAAATGACATTATGAGGTATTATTCTAATTGTATAAATGGGAAATGATGAGCCTTTCCCTTTGTCAAGGTCACATGGTAAGCAAAGCGGCTAACCCAAGACCCCACTTCTTCTGATTCCCAGCCCAAGCAGGATTCAGTCCTCCTGCTAAGGATGCCTGAGACAGAAATGGGCCAGTAGCCAGACACATATTCACACTTATTTAAATAAGATCTTTCTCAAATTATTTGTAGCTAAATCGATGCAAATATTTATAAATATATAAATAGGTACACCTAGAATGTCTTACTCAGTGAACCCCATATTTTCTCAAGACCACTCAGGTTTCTCTCTCTTTGACTGTTCCCATCGAGGTTCTGTAAATTATGAGTATATCAGTATAATTTATGGAACCCCAATGGGAATGAACATTGAAATCCTTTAGCCCCCAGAACATCTAGAAATCCCAGAAAGGCATTGGGGGCAAAATCAGCCCAACCACTGGGATACTTCGGAGAGAATATATTCATTATTACACAGTAAGAAAAAATTCCAACTACTCTAACTTCAGTGAGGACCTAGTTATAGAAGATGTCTCTAATGATAATGAACAGGCTGTTCAGGACATTCCCAGAAGGGTCCAATTAGTCTCCAGGAGCTGATGAAACCGCTCATCTCTACCTGGGTCCCCTGTAGGTCCCCATGTTGTTGTACCCAGTCCAGGGGCTGATTCCCAGAGGAAGGAGCTGGATTCATCAGTCCAGTGTGCATTAGTATCTCTTATTCGGAGTTATTTTTCTGCCAATACAAGACACCTCGGCATTGATTGTAGAAATGTCTTTCGAACTATTCTCTAAACGAATGCCTCCCTTCCTTAAAGCAGGAAGACAATTCAAACCAAAGTCACAAAGAAAGGACGTGGCCATTCAAAAGCACGGCAAGGTAAAAGATTTCCTTTTAGCTTAAAAGTGACCCAAGAGTGACATGTTATTATGAATTTGTCCAAACCCATAAAATGTACACTCAGAGTGAGCCCTAATGTAAATAGGGACTCTGGGCAATTGTGAGGTGTCGACGTACCACTAACTGATGACGTTGGTAATGGGGAAGGTGTGCCCGCATGGGGGTAGAGGCACATGGGATATCTCTGTATCTTCCCCTCAACTTGGCTGTGAACATGAAAATTCTCTAAAAAAAATAATAATAATAGTAACATCTTATAAAAAAATACTCTTAAAAAGTGAACCAAAAGATTATCAATTATAAGTTCCACATTTCTTGGAAAACTCTTAAGTATAATTATAAATTTAAATAAAGTGTCCAGATTGCTAAACCTTCTTGCCTTAAAAAGCAGAATGCCATCAACTGTCATCATATTTTGAACCATCAAGTCAGTTTCCCAGCATACCATGAATTTTTAAAACCGTGGGCATTTTCGTTTAATTTTCTCTTTATTGCATCTTGTAGAATATTTTTTAAAAATCAGATAATCCTAAACATTCTGAATGTATAATGCTAAACCTCACATTTATTATCTTTATTATAAAAATATTATTTGCAATGGGCACTACCTTATAAGAAAGCTGAACATGACCTGATCATTTTTAAGGCCCTTATAAGTAAAGTCTGCAGGAGTTTCCCTAATGCTGGGCCAAAGAGGATAGTATGACCCTGACAAAGTTAAAAAATAACCGATTAACCCAAGAGAACTCACAGGAAATACCGCCAACCAAGCATTAAAAAAATATTAATTTTTAATTGTCTTTTCTTTGGAATTCCTTCTTCACTCATTATACCTTGCTTTACTATTTCGCCAGTGTCGTGGGGTTTTTTTTGTTTGTTTAGTTTTCCCAAGTGGGAATTTGGTTACCAAGCCACTCTAGGCAATGGAATGTAAAATTTCCACTAGGAATGCAGGGCAGTGGGAAGCGCGTCCGTAACAAAGCGAGATGAAAGTCAGCAATGCTGAGTATGTGCAGGGCCCGGTGGGCGGGGCAGAGAACAGCTTCCACCTGCCTCTGACTAAGTCCCCAAGTCCCGCGACTCCCACTGAAGCCTGTGCACCATCTACATTCAGTCCTTCACAAGCACTAAGGACGCTATTAAACCCACCAGCACAGACCAAGGGAAGGGCCCCTGGTGCTCAGAGGGGCTCTGAGGTCTTCACCCCCACGTGCTGGCTGTGCTGAGGGCAGGTGGGGGGTCTCGGCCCCCCTCACGGAGCTACCTGCGGGGTGGGATGTGGGCATGAACAAGGCTGTGCAACATTCCTGAGGAGCACTAGGCTGGGAGACAGCCTCCAGCCCTTAGGAGCCCACGTCTTCAAGGAGTCACCGAGGCCAGTCACCTCACCAACGTGGGCGGCCACGTCCACTCAGCCATAGGATGGAGGGAACCGCATTCTGGTCATCTCTCGGCTCCCTTCAAATTCCCACAGTATCCCAAAATATTGAAGTGTGGTCAAAATGCAACCCGTCTCGAACGAAAAGTAAAGCTTTTGAAATAAAACGATTAAAAATATGATTGGCTAACCCTAAGTGTCGAAGAATTGCTCAGACAATTGAGATCTCTATGGTTTGGAACAAAACAGCTTTACATACATCAAGGAGGACCCAATAGGGGTGTCCTCTCTTAGAGAACTCTTAGAGAAACTCAGTCAACGGGGTTTTTAATAAATCATCTATAAGCTTCAGTTTCAACTGCTTACAAGAGGCATGTCCGCAACCATACACCTCCCAGGACAAGGAGGCTGGTAAGGGCATCTGAAGTAGAAAAGGCGATGTGAGAACAGTAGTCTCGGACTCACACTGCTCAGAAAACACCCACCACTCATCTCATAGCTTGTTTCCTTTCCACATAGATGGTTCACTCCTTCAGTGACATCCGTCAGCTGTCACAGTTACCAGCTGTGTACACGGCAGCAGGGAAAGGGCTGAGTGCTCCCTGGTAAATGACTCAAGATCTCCGTCCTCACGAAGCCCAAAGAATAGAACTCGGGGATCAGTAGCAAGTAAAAAGTAAAAATAAATAAATAAATAAATAAAGCCAAAAAAACACATAATCACAGATGATGAAAGAAAGTGCTCTGAGGAAGATGAGGCCATGATGAGATAAGGCCGGTGGGGAGCAGCCCAGTGTGCCGGGGAGAGCAGGAAAGGACAAACTGGCAGGCACCGTGCATGGCCCCACCAGCCAAGGCGGGGAGGCTCCATGTCAGCCTAAGTGTCCGCAGTCTCAACGGCAGGTTTCCACAAGGGTCACTCCGAGACCAAAAGGAGGTCTGTCGAGTTATCCAAGGAAGAGACGGTAGGGGCTTTTCCTAGGGGCTGACTGCGGGGAAAGAAAAAGTAGGCAGAGCCAAGACATAGTGGAGGTAGAGATTAGAACCTACTAGAAGAAGCATGTGGATGGCGAGGGAAAGGGCTTGAGCAGGCGGGGGTCCAGCGGTGCTGCACAAGGGACAGAGAAGGAAGATCTACCCCAGCTATAGAATCAATGGTCTTGTTTTGGACATTACGGAGACACCTGTGAGACCTCCAAGCGGGGCACCCCACAGGCGAGCTGGAGCTCATGGAAGAAGCCAGGGCTTGAGAGGCAAATGGGGGGGGTGGTGACCAGAGGTGAAGCCGTGACGCTGAGTGAGGCCACCAAGGGAAGGAGTGGAGAGCAAAGAGGGGGCTCAGGACGCCAGCTTGGGGTCGGACAACAGAGGAGAAATCATCCCACAGGAGACAGGACCGAAGCGGACAGACAAGCCGCAGGTGAGCCAAGAGAGTGTGATGTTCCAGAAGCTAAGAGAGAGGGCCGGCTGCTTGGAGCCAGAATAAGATGAGGACAGGAAAAGGCCCGCTGAACTGGTCATGGCAGACACCATGGGAGAGCGTGACAAGAGCATCATGAGAGGAACTCGAGACACGGAGCCCTGCTGAGTTAAGTTCGGGGCTTGGGAAGCGGAGTCAAGAAGTGCAGAGGGAGCTTTCTGCTGGCATTATTAGTGTCTGCAGGAGACACACAATAAATTTAGGACAAGCTCCTTGCTGTCTGTACCTGTATCTGTATTTGCTGAAGCCAGGATGTGTACAAGGCATTTAGGACGGGAGGAAAGAGAATTTCCAGCTTCCATTGAAACACAGAACCGGCTCAACTCAAGCAGCTAAGCAAGGGAGACCTTTGGGGTCACGCGATTAGATGCGCCACATACACGGGGTCATGAACAAGGAGGGCGTGGAACCCAACCACGAGAGGACTCCATGGGACCCTCACTGACCAGAAGGAGCAGAGAGGAGGTCGGCTGGGCAGAGCAGAGGGGAGAAGGACCCCAAGGAATGCAAACCACACCTGCATCAGGGCATAAGGCTAGATTATCCCAATGTAACTGGTGAAAACTGGAAAACTTGTACAAAATGGTCGTCCTACTTTTCTCATTCCCGAGAGATTGCTAGAAGCATTTCAACCAAGGAGAAACATGTGCCAAAATACTATCACATTCAGAGTGTTTAGAGAACATCGAAACTCCTACACATTGAGTACTAGTATAATACCATTCTCCCAATGCAAGGAGATTTGGGGCAAAACTATATTACTGATAACATTAAATTAATATACCAGTTTTTTAAAACTCTGTGGAATTTCATGCACAAAATGGGCCGTATGTGCCCTCTGACACCTGTCACATTTATCCTGATCGAATAATTCAGAAGTAGAAAAAAGCTACATATTGTTACATACTGTTAACTAGAATATTACAGAGCAAAAACAATAGAGATTATCTAAATGTAACTGTAACTCATAGCATCAACTCAATAAAACAGTATACATTACTATAAAAAATGATAACAAACACTATGTAAAGGTGAAAAATATAAGAAAAACAATGTAAATGAAATACGGTAAAAAATACAAAGCATGTATAAACTACATGTAAGACTATAAAATCTGTGTAAGATGTATTCTGTAATTACAACTCTATCTATGCACAGAAAGATAAATATATCTTTATATACTTATATAAAGTCAGACAGACATATATATGGAGAAAAAGTGGAAGAGAATTTACAAAAATGAAATCCAATTGTTTTAATGATGGTCTTAGGGAAAATACAATTTTCACTTTAAATTTTTTTTTTTTTTTTACTTTTTCAAAGCTAAGATTCAGGATGAACTTGTGTGTTCTCAAGTCCTCTGCTTGAGGAGCCGTTATTTTTTATCTTTAAAATGTGTATGGTGGATGACATCTGCTTGGCTAAATGAGAGAGTAAGGTTTCCTTCTGGCTTTGTAGTCTCTGCCCTGTGAGGCGCACCGTAGTCAGGTCTGATGCTTATTCAATGATAAGAGTACTTTCTTTCACTACTGCCATTGTGGAGACAATTTCTGGATTGAAAGAGGATATTCTGTGTTTAATTCTATTTCCCCAATAGTACCCTCTGGCATGATGTCCCAGGCGGGGAACAACCTCAGCCTAATCACCAGAAAAACATCAGGAAAACCCAAAGGCAAAGATGTTTTACAAAAAAAGGGACCTTCAAAGTTGTCAAGGTCATGTAAAACTGAGAAACAGTAGCAGGTTGGTAGAAACTTAGAGGACATGACAACTGAAAGCAGTGTGGGATCCTGAATTGGATCTTGGACCAGAAAGAAAAAACATCAGTGTCAAAACAGACAAAATTTAGATAAGGTTTGTGGGGGAAAAAAGGGGGGGGCGGTATCGATTTTAATTTCTTGCCATCAGTAACTGCACCATGTTTGTGTAAGATACTAACAAAGGAAGCTGGAGGCAGTAAACGGATAAAGGATTCTCTGCATTAGTTGGCAACTTCCGCCTAAAATTATCTCAAAATAAAAAGTTAAAGCAATGCGACATTTAACCCCCCCTTATCAAAACTAAAAATCTAATACCTGGGAGGCCTCCCTCACCCTGTCTTTGCCTCCCATGGCGTCTTCTTCCAATTCTCAGACACCACTCTGTGTTTAAAATGTTAAGAAGAAAAAAAAAAAAAACCTTCTGAGAAAATCAACGATAGTAAAACTGAGAAAATCTCCGTTTGTAACTAGACTAGCCTTAAGCACTTCTGTCTTGTGACTGTATTCGGTTTTGGGGTTAGTTTCAGAGAAAC